TTTCTGAAAATCGCAGATACACTTATGAAATGTGACAGTCCACATTGACTCACTTCTCATCGGAGTGACTGTTAGCATACCTGAAAGCATCTTACTGCTCACATATGTGTTTCTCTGTGGCCCAGTGCCCCCAAGTTAATTTGAATCTAACCTGGTCATGTCTCCATTTTCCTTACGGTAATATAATAATACAGGAAAGAGCTCCATGTCAGATACAGAGTCTTCCTGCTTCTTTTTCAGTGAATAAAATTTTAAAAAATGTAAAGAAGCCTTTGGCCTTCGCTGTCTTATGTAAAGCCATCTGCTGTTGCATCTCCTCTGGATGTGTCTCCTGTCACATAAGTTATTTCTAGTCTATATCTGAGTGCCTCCTGTTCGGATACATCTTGTCATAGAACCTTAGATTTTAAGCAATCCACTACTTAAAGTAACTTCAGGACATTATTACACTGACAACATTAAAAATAGGAAGAATGCATTTGCATCCATGTCTATAATAACTATGAAAATGTGCACAGTAACAGTGAAAAAGTGAAGATGTGATATTTAGATGGCTTGTATATTTCATTTTAAACGAAATTTAAATTTAAATTTATTCACACTACATGAAAACCTTTGTCTTTATCTGTTTAACTCAAATGACCAAATCTCCCCTTAATGGTATGACTTTTACATTTTTCAGCAAACTTGTCTTTTAGGTTTTTATCTATTTACATAAAACGCTTATGTTTAAATAACATATTGTACTGGTAATGAAATCAATATCTTTAAAGGGGCTATCCCCCCAATCTTGGTCCCATTTTGTAGGACCCTTGGATAGTTTCCAGGTCAAAGGCATTAACAAGGTGTCTGTCACACGTTTTCTCCTAATTTGAATTAAACTATAGTTGCTGGTGGCAGAAGCTGGCCTCTCATCTTTTGTAGGAAAGTCGCCCAGCTCCTAGCGAGCAAGCCGGGAGCTCCTTCTGGAACTAAACACTTGTGCTGGTCACTACTGAGTGGCCAAAGGTCACATATGACCTCGACCGTGCATGGGAGTGCCTCTGCCTTCTTCCCTGTGGGGAGGCGGCAGATGGCGAGGGCATAGGGCGCTGGTGCTCAGCTCCCTGCCTCAGCCTGGCAAGACCGGTAACAGAGACAAGCCGGGCTGCGACCCTTCGCCTGCTGCGGGTCGCAGGAGTTTTTCGGGCGCTTTTGCTCCAGAGGCTCCTGGGCTGTGCTCTCAAAGGAGGTGAAACTCCCATTCCATTGATCAACCTGGAAACCCCTGTACTTGGAGAGCGAAGCTGAGTCGCTGAAGCCGCACGGAGAGCCCCGCTGGCACGCGGTGTCCCTGGCAGTCACGATGCCACCGCTAGGCTCCAGAAGTCCTGCGGCTGCCGCCCAGGCTCCAGCGCTCTGCTGGTCCGCCACCAACAGCAGCCCGGACTGAAAGGGATGAGCCAATGGGAACTCTAGGAGTCATGACAATGACCGCCCATTCGGCTCAACTCCGGTGGCAGAAGCGCCTACTATTCTCCTGCTCGGAGCTTAGAAACACTAAAGGCACTTTCTCCACCATGGCCAGACACACTGCACTTGTCGGAGTCTTTCCTCTGTGCGTGTGCTCGACTTTTCCCTGTGCTTGTGTGTAAGCTCAACCCTCACAGCCCAGAGCCAGGCTTTTCAAAAGTTGGTAACTGGAACCGAAAACAGCATTCTCTCCACGTCACCGGCCTTTGGACCTGGTTTCTGGGTTCAACATGGAAACTAAACAAGAAATCTGAAGAAGTTTCTCGAAGTTTGGAAAACCTCTATTTACTGAAATTGATGTGGCTTCACCCGGAGCTAGAAGAACAAAGCCAGGGTCCTGCACAAGCTGTTAGTGCTTAGAAAACCCTGCCTCAACCCTTCTCCTTATGGTGAAGTCTTAAATGAAAGTGGTGAAGGTGCATCAGGAATGATTCTAAGCCGCTCACGGGCGGGCGTGACCTCATAATGTTCAAAACTATCCTATTGCTTTCTTTTACACTGTGTTGCAAATGAAGAAATATAGCAACAGAGGATCTGGCCCAGAATGCGACACTAATATGTGCCAACGGCAAAATCAAAATCCAGTTAGCAAAACTTTTCAGTATCCCAATTAACTAAAGCTAAATACTCTGGAGTCTTTTGATTCAGGGAGGCATGAACCGTCCTCCTCTTTTTTTTTTTTCATTTATGTTTCATATCGTGGCACAGAATATTCTGTTAAAATCTAGGAAATATTCAGTACCTTCAGCACTGCTCTCAGAATGACATGGTCACCAAGATAAGAACTATTGAGTAAAAAGAGAGTAAGGAGAAAGGAATTCCAGAACTAGGAAGATTGAGGAAGGATGATTCCCTGAGTTCGAGGCCAGCCTAGGGTACATAGCAACAGCTTGTCTGAAAACAAAAAACAAAAACAAACAAACAAAGCTTTAAAAAAAAAACCTTTTTAAAAAAGCCGAGAAAGCCTCATTTAGATGACTGTGTTTTGCTGATTTGACTTTGATGTGGAGATAAATAATAGCATTAATTATCTCTGGACTAAGAATTCATTCATGAACAAATAGCACGATTGTCTTAGTCAAGCTATGTAGAATTACAAACAATCTGCAATTAAGAGCTTTGTAAATCTATGTCTAATTTTTATTTTTAATGTCATAATTTATTCTGATAGGGAGAAACAGGTGGCTGGAGTTTTGTTTTATTAAATCACTATCAACTCTTCACATATTTCATTTAACCAAACAATTCTTAACTTGTTTGTTTATTGACTATTTTTCCACAAAACAAAAGTTATAGCAATTAGTTCTAAACCAGGACATGAAGTGCAGACTATACTTCTACAGCAACGGAGTACCTCCTGTGTTTCAAATCTGGATTTCTAAGTTTCCCTTGGGGACTTACAAGATCTGATCTCAGAAGAAAAAGGTAAAAATCTTTTCAACCTTCTACCCAAGGATGCCTCTGCTTTCAAGTGTCAGTTTTACAAAGGACAAAAACATGATGACTGAGCAGGTGGTGGAAAACTGAATTATGGAACGAACCTAAGTTTAGCAAACAAAAACTTAAGTCCACTTCCAGTGATGGGTGTCAAGACCATCCCTGAGCCTCTTTTGTGGAAAGGAGAGAAATGCAAGTAGCCTGTGAATCTGACACAGAATAGTTCCTCAACAAATGCATGTTTACCTTTATGCCCACAATAAGTCTGTCTATCTGTCTCTGAGTTTCTCTGTCTTTCTCTGTCTCTGTCTCTTGCTGTGTGAGTGTGTGTGTCTTTGTGTGCATGTGTGCATGTGTGTGTTTCTTTCTCCATCTCCCACCCCTCTTTATGCTGTCTCCTACACACATATCTTCACATCTCTTCACAGAAGGAACCTCTCTGAAGATCACCATTAATAGAAAGAAATCAAATGTTCTTGATTTCGATATCACACACACACACACACACACACACACACACACACACACACACACAGTTCCTGACAACCTCCTAGTGACCAAGGCAATAAGATTCAGGATTCAAAGGACAAGACTGGATGAATGGAATGTGACCATGGAACTCTATCCAGAGAGTCTGCTGACCTACAAAATTTGCTAACCTCTGAGAAAACTGTTGTAGACCTGGGTCTTCAGTGTTCCTGTCTTTAACTAAGAGCCTACTTCTCCAAGGAGAGGGGGAAAAATCTTCCTAGAATGTATATCCAACATCAGCTTTTAAAAATAACTAATGATTTTGCTACCCTAATTATTGTCTATACACTGTGATCAATTACATTTTCTCTTTCATAAAATGGAACCAAAACTGACACACAAAGTCACTGGAAGAACTACAAAGGGAAAGGAGACTGTCACACCTCCAACAACCTGTGGTGTTTGTTGAATTAATACTAAAATGCATGACCCATAAAAGGCTTGGAGCAAATTTCCTCTTATGTCCCCAAGGTAAGCTCTGTCAAAATGGTAGACAACAAGGAAACATATGTGAAGATTTTTTGCTGTTGTTGTTGTTGTTTGTTTGTTTTTGGTGTTGTTTGTTTTTCCTTGAAGGTTCTGGAAGTGAACATAAAAACATGTAGCCCGAACAATGGTTTTAGAAGTCGATGGATTTTGCCTGTTCTCTGTACAACCCTGAGTAACATTAATTCTGCAAATAATATAAATCTCCTGTGACTTGCCTTGTTGTGAAATCTCCCCAAAGGTGGTTTTCGAACTAGACTACTTCTTTGAAGGGTCCTCTGAAGTTGCCACGCAATTGAACTCTCATTTGTATCTTTATTATTCTTAAAGATTGCACAAAATGGAAACAAGAGCAACACTGTACATCATTCATTATAAAACAACATACACATTTGTGGACTCTACCAAATAGGATAATCTTTAAAATTTTATATATTGCGTGCTCTTAGATGCATGCGTTATTTTACATTTATCATTATTCTCTCATAAATAATTGCAACTTGACCAATTTGTACATCCACTACCACAGTATACTCAACGTGGCAAGAAGTGGCCTTTGACCGGAGAACGGATATTAAAAACGGAAACAAGTGTGTGGGTGTCACATCTACTGTTTTGCCTACTCAGTGAAACGCTAACATAAGATTCACGCGAAACATCTTTTCAAAAGGCACGAGTTCCTCCACAGAAAAGAACGTTTTAAGAATGCATGGCGGCTAAAATCATCACCTTTGAGGGCAGTGAAATACTTGAATTGACGTGATGCTGAGTCCCAAGACCAAAATGCCTTCAGGGAGAGCGCGCTCCAGTCTAGAGGCCTGAATTGTGGAGACCCACATCCTCTGGGTTGCTCTGTGGCTGCTTTTCAACCCATTCTTAAACGCTGCCCCACTGCAGAGCGGGGGGGGGGTGGCGGGGGATAGGGGTGTGCTCACTGTTCCAAATCCGACATCTTCCCCAGAATAATCACCCAAGTCCTTCCTGTCACCACTTCACTCTACTCTGTCCACGCCCCTCCCCCTTGCTCGGGAATGTTAGGAGTCGCGCTGGCCTCGGCCCCCAGCCTCGGGGTCGCTCTGGTCGTCGGTGAAGCAGACATCCACATCACTGTCCTCGCTCTTGGGATCCCCAGGCTCCAGGGCATAGCCCGGCTCTGCACCCGGGCCGTCGCCCGCCTTGGCGATCAGGCTCTGGCCCGGGTGGCGGGACTTGACGTGACGCTCCAGGTCCCGGCGGCGCACCAGCACCTTGCCGCAGAACTCACAGCGATAGGGCGTGTTGCCCTCCGCGTGCAGTCGGATGTGCTTGTTGAGGTTGCTGGGGTCGCCGAAGGGCCGCAAGCACACCTTGCACTTGAGCGGCTTGTAGCCGGTGTGCGTCCGCATGTGGATCTTGAGCCCGTACTTGCGCGAGTACAGTTTGCCGCAGTAGAGGCACAAGTGGCCCGTCTTGGGCTTGCCCACTGCGCCCCCGCCGCCGCTGCCAGCCGCCGCCACTACGGCAGGAGGCAGCGTCCCCGAGTCCAGGCGGGCGCGACCCTTCCCGACTGCCATCTCGGACAGCTGCTGCGTGTGCATGGCGATCTCGCGGTCGATGCTGGCCAGGGAGCCCAGCTCGGCCGGGCCGATCGCCGCTGCCGCTGCCGCCGCCGCGGGCCCGCTCAAATAGGAGATGGATTCGGGGTATTTGAGCAGCCCGCCCAAGTGCAGCTTGAGCGGGTAGTAGGCGGCAGGGGGGCCGTAGAGCAGGTCCCCGCTGTACACCGTGAAGGCCGGCATGACCGCGGGCAGGGGACTGCACTCGCTGCCGGAGTAGGCTTTGAGGCCGCCGGTGGCGTCGAGGGGCGGCAGCGTGCAACGCTCCAGGGGGAGCCCGGGTGCGGGGAGAGCAGCGTAGCGCGCGGCGGGCAGCGCGGCAGCGGCGGGCGGGGCGCGCTCCACGTGCTTGAAGGCGGACACCTCCTCCGTGTGGCCTGCTAGCAGGGGGAAGGCTCGCAGGGCCCCGGGACACGCCAGACCGGGTGGCGACGGGTCCCCCGCGAGCAGGCACTTGGGGTGGTGATGGTGGTGATGAGCGTGGTGGTGATGGTGATGGTGGCCAGCTGGGCTTTCCCCACTGCCGGGGCGCCCGCCCGCTCGGCCCCCGCCCAGCAGCCGGCCCAATGCCAGCCCGGGTCCCTTGCCGCCGCCCTCTTCCCGGTAGGGGTCGCCCTGCGAGGCTGCCCGGGCCAGGCCAGCGGGTTTGAAAGCGGATCGCGCGCCGGGGTAGAAAGTCAAGCCGCCGCCACCACCGCCGGCTCCGGAGCCGCCCACTATGCCCAGGAAGTGACTGTGTGCGCGGGGCACCCCGCTGGAATCCAGGGCGCGATCTGACTGCTCTTTGCCCTTCCTTGGAGTTCCCCACTTGCCCGGAGATGGTGAGGTGGCCGGGGGCGCCAAGGAACCCTCGCGCTTGATGCTCTCCCGCGCCCCGAATGCCTGGGCGAGTTGAGGGGCCTGTGCCTGGGGCCGCAGAGCGCCTGCATGCACCGCTGAGGTCAAGTCCGGAGCGGTGGGTTTCGGAGGGAGGCCAAGGCCTTCTGCCGTCGGGCCACCACCGGGCCTGGCCGCGTGCTCCTGATGCAAGAAGGCACGGCCCCCGCCGCCGCTGAGCACGCAGTGAAAACGCAGGTGTGCCTTGAGACTGTTGGGGTATCTAAACGTCCTCCAGCAGTACCAGCAGATGTAGCGCTCCTCCCCTGGGCAAAAGAGTGGGAGAGTAACCCCGTGAGAAGAAAAGGGGACAGGAGGAAAGTGCCAGCGCACCGGGCAAAGCCCAGGTTTTGACCCACAGTGTGGCACAATCGCGTGGTGGTTGGGGGGGGGGGTGGAGAGGGGAATAAGGGTCTTAGGACCGAGAGAGAGATAAAGTTCGGGAAACCCTATCAATGTGTGTAGACCCTCCCAAAGCGTGTAAACAGCCAACTCTTGTCTCTTCCATCCTACTCAAATAGCAAAACAGGTGACCTGAGCCTTTCCAATGAAGACTTCCTCCAAGCCCTCGTAGTAAATCTCCCTTGGAAGAGCAGGGCTCAGGAAGGCTGACCGGGAAGAGCAGAGAGCAGCTGTTGCCTTAAATCAAGTGTTGAGGCTATGCTGTGCCTGTGCCCATCTGTTGGCGTTTACAGAATAGGTGGCGTATGTCAAGGAGTTTGGATAAACTGAACAAAGGCCAATCTAATAGTCGTGAGCGCCTCATTACCAGGCGAGACAATATCCTGTATGTATGGGCCATATGTAATCATTCCTTTTCATATAACAATGTCTTTTGTGTGGGCTCTCTGCCCTTTCTACCCCCTCCCAGACTTAAACACTTGCCCGAGGATTTCCTGGAGCGTGACCAAATGAATCCCCACATAAGGATTGTGGCTTGCTATCCTTCAAAACTGTGTGCATCCTTATTTCCCATTTCAACTTCGTCTGATTGGACTGAAGAAAAAAGCCCTACCTCCTGGTATTCTATGATGAGTTGATTATATTCTGAGAAGGATTCTGGAGTATTGTCTCATCAGTTCTACCTGGAAGTTAATTAACCCCTAGATAGGTGCGCAGACACAAGCTTAGAAAAGTACTTGAGAGAGATATATTTCATTTAATAAATGTAGACAAACGAGAAAGGCACTCTGCTTTTAAAAGTGCCGAGTTCCCTGCCATGAGTGGTGCTTGCCTGGTTTCAGCTCTTTGTGTCCCTTACATTGGAACTGTCTTGACTTGCTGGAGTCTCTGAACACAATCCAGAGAGGAGTGCATGAGACACCTACTGATCAGGTGCTAGGAACTAATTTCTATGTACTGCTGTGCATACAAACGCAAAATGTTTTAAAATGATTGACTGATAATGCTAAATATGCCTGTGAGAAAGAAGCTGATTGGGCCACAAGGCAATACCAGAGTAAACTGTAGGTCCCTTAACATTCACTAGAAAACCGGGCAGTGGTGGTGGTGATGGTGGCCTTTAATCTCAGCACTGGGGAGGCAGAGGCAGGCAGATCTCTGTGAGTTCAAGACCAGTCTGATCTACAACAGCTAGTTCCAGGACAGCCTCCAAAACCACAGAGAAACCCTTTCTCGCCTTTCTCAGAACAACCAAAAACAAAAAACAAAAAAAAACAACAACAACAAAAAGCATTACACTCTCCTTCTTTATGTGCATTCCCCACTTTAAAGCATTACTACAGAGCTTGTCATGGTGGCACACGCCTTTAATCCCAGCACTCGGAAAGCAGAAGCAGGTGGATCTTTGTGAGTTTGAGGCCAGCTTGGCCTACAGAGTAAGTTCCAGGCAAGCCAGGGCTGTATAGTAAGACTGTCTCCCCTGAAGGGAGCAGTTTATTCCAATAGAGGGCAAAGGAGAGCTGGGAGAAATAGGGGGAACAGAGGATTTGCTTATAATTCTCTAACCATAAGAGCATCTCAATATTCCTGCTGCCTGTGTGAAACATCTACGTAAAACAATCCCTGGAAAAAGAGGAAGGTGACCCTTTGGTTTTCTTGGAGTTTCAAAAGTCCTTTGCTACAGCAGCTCTTCAAGAGTTTTCAGTCTGTTCCAGAAGGGCTCTGCCAATGCAAAGCCAGGTACTCTTGGTTCTTAAATGAAGGGGCAATAACTCAATCTTTCTATGAAGTTGAAAATAACTGAAGCTAGCCACTACTGTAAAAAGTACTTCCTCGCCGGGCAGTGGTGGCGCACGCCTTTAATCCCAGCACTCGGGAGGCAGAGGCAGGCGGATCTCTGTGAGTTCGAGGCCAGGCTGGACTGACAGCCTCCAAAACAATACAGAGAAACCCTGTCTCGTAAAAACCAAAAAAAAAAAAAAAAAAGTACTTCCTCTTCCCAAAAGTTAAGACAAGTGTGTGTGTGTGTGTGTGTGTGTGTGTGTGTGTGTGTGTGTGTGTTTTATTCCTCACATTGATTTTCCAGCTTATCTTCATCAACAGGTTCTGCAGATCCTAAGGTTCAACTGTTGTCAAGTGAGTCAAACACCTTTCATAAATGACCTTGCTCCACCTCCTCATGTAACTTTAAAGATTTCAGACATGCCCAGTGTAGAAATGTCACATTCAAAATAGGCTTCCCCAGCAGTGAAATGATGGATTTTTTATTATCAGTTGCCATATGGCATTTAGAAAACCAGTTGACTGTAATAAAATACATGGGTTAAACAAATAGCTTTTCTCTGGTTGTCCCTATGGAAAAATGTTCTGTGCAGAAGTGGCTGGCACGATTTATTGTGGAGTGGCCAGTTTGAGAGTTCCCCTAGGAGACAGCTAGCTGCATTATTACTAAAAAACTTAACAAAAGATTCTGAAAATGTGGCTCAATGAACAAACTAAGTTATGATAATTCTTATGAATATTGGCCATGCAAATCTATTTTAAAACAAATAGAATTAGCTTGCAGAAGGCAGCAGTACTTTGAAGTGAAATGACTCATTTCTCTAAATAACCTGTCCAGATCATGAAGTGTGTCCTAATTACACTTGTATCAATATTTACCTGTTTCTAAACGCATACAGTGGAGTGGCAGTTATGGAGGAGAGTGTGTTAAACTATTTTGGAACACTTTTTTGTAGTCTGTGAAAAAAATAGCTTCTTGGGAGAAATTATAAACAAGCTGAAACAATTAGCAAGAAGGGAAAGAAGGCCAGGGGAAGCTTTATGAAGGATTGAGCAGGGACTCTCAAGACCTTGACTATTTTAGCCCCTCCCAGCCTTCTTCCCACAGGAAATGACCTTCAATGCTGCTGTGTGGAGGATTTGAAATGTGTTCCTCTTTAGTTGCTGCCCCTTAATTTGCATGCATTGGTTCTTGGCTTGGAAGGAATCAAATAAATCTGAGAAGAAACTGGGATACATCCCAGATTCAATTTAAGTAGACTTAGTAGGGGGAAATGAAGAAATACCATTTTAAGGAAGGACCTTAAAGGAACCAGTACCTGCCAAGGAACCAGCTGTAAGTACCATAATGTTTCTAAAACGCTGCCAAAGACAATGCTTTCCCAAAAAACTAACACATAAAGAGCACCCTCGAACTTTTTAAAAAAGTATTCTAGGTTTAAACGTTGGCGTCTAGAACTCAAGAAGAAACTGCTGCAGCATATTAAATCTCCTTTACTGGTTCTTCATTAATTAAATACTTGTCATTTGGGGCATGCAATGGGAAAGAAAGAAGCCATGAAGTTCATTGGGGAGTAATCCTCTGCACTGAGGACCAGGCTACTACCCAGTTATCGTTTGCTGCTGGTTTTAACAAAGCAGTTCCCTCTCTACAGAAAGGCTCACAATTGGGGAGACCATCTTACAGGCAGTACCTTTCTCATCATGAGTTGGGGTCGCAGTTGTGGGGATGTCAAACCACTGAGCCAAGGAGTTGGAATACCACACAGTCAGCTCTTCACCTGGCTGGACATCTCGCAATGCTCGATAGAAGATCTAGGATGCAATAATAATAATAGTAATAGTAATAACAACAACAACCACGTTCTCTGCTATTTCTTGATGCTTGAGAATAAAGGTTCAAGTGCTGACTTTGTGGTCCTGGAGAAGCTATTGGACAGCTTTCAATCTCATCCTTCATTCTTCAAATGGCAAAACAAAAATATCTTCCTTACAGGGAGGGTCATTGGCACGTTTAAAGAACTCTTGCCTTTCAAAGTTCTTTGCTTATAAAAAGCCTGGCTGCCTTAGGGAGGACCATTCCGGATGGAATTGGAATTGACAAGAATGAGGGGCACTGACAGTACCTGTCCTCCCGGCAAGTCCGCCACAGCTTCCAGAGTCTGTTCCTGGGGGTTCCTGGCTGCCCGGATTAACCCTATCCACTCCAGAGGGGAGTCCCCTGACTCGTCCACCAGCTCCCCCCTCACCATGCGCACCTGCAATACAAGCAGTGGTCATTCTCCCACATTGCCACATCCAGACTCCCAGCCCAGAGGAAAGATTACCCTCCATCCCACCCAACTCAGGAAAATGGCTGTGTCCTCTCGGACCCAACCTCTATGAGTTGCTAGGAGAATAATTCCTTAGGGCCCCAGTTTAGAGGATGGGGAAATAAGGGACATGAGTGGTAGACTGGACCTCCACCATGGACCGTGGCCACCACCACACACCTTGGAAACACCAGCCGAAAAAGGCATCCTTTCAGAGCTCCGGGATGCATCTGGCTGTAAAACACTCCCCACCTCTCCCCACGTGCAGTTCTGGGGTCCAGGCTGGTCCTGAAGCCTGGTGCAGTGCCCCTACACTGTTTCTCAACCCTCCATTTCTCTGGTACTGCTGCTCCTAGGTGCAAGTGACCTCCGCGGTGAAATGCTCAGAACAAAGCCAGCACAGAGAAATTTTGCCTGCAGCTAGCAGGCCATTTAAAAGCAATTAAATCGCTTTTAAAGAGAGAGGCGTGGTTAGCTAAAAAACCGGGTGACCAGAAGGAGAGGCAGGGGGGCTTTCCAGCACCAGAAGGAAGGTCCTGCACTCAGACACGGAAGACAACACTTCTTGCAAGAAAGCTCTAGGCGGCTACTAAAACCAAGGTCTTCCCTTTTTAAACAAGCCTTTGACTTAATTTCCCGGTTGCTGTCTGCCAGTCCTTGACAGCTAAGGCACCCCCCCCCCCCCCGCAAGAGACTTTAAATTCCCTCTATAGCCAGGGATCAAGACGGGGTGGGGTGGAGGCGGGTATCAGCGTTGGAGAGTTGTCCCTGGCACCTCTCAGCTGGGATCTTGGACTCTGAGAGTCCCAAATGGGTGTCCCCTCGAGGGTGGGGCTCTCAACTGGCATCAAAATTAATCACCACCTGGCTCATCCTCTGCCCATTTTCTACCCAAACCTGCAAGCAAATGGGGGCTTGGTACAGTCCAAGAACTAAGAGCCTCAACAAGAAGTATCCATTCTGTGAAATGGGATTAACTTGTTTAAAGCAAAATGTAAGTTTCAAACTAGTGAACAGAACCGCGGGGAGGGAGGGAGGAGGCGGGGGGGGGGTCCTTCCCATCCTATGCCTCCGGAGGAAAATGGGTACATTTGCCCAGAGAAGCAAGGGTTGAGGTGGAACTTAGGAACCCTCATCACCTTGTCGAGGACACCCGCAGAGCGCTGGGAAAACTATCCGTTCCCACGGGCCCCCAAACCTACAGACCCTGGCACACCGAACTAGAGTCTGTGCCTTGCCGGCTCAGCTCTGCCCTCCCTTCAGCCCTCAGCTCAGTTATGCGACATTCTAAGGACAGTCGAATAATTCTACCCTGCAGAATTAACAGGTACCCCCCTTTTCTCCGCTTTTCCTCTCCCTTTCCTGGATCCCAGCAATGGAGGGAGAACGGCAAGGGACGGAGATCCAGAATGGCCCAGTACCTTTTTCTTGGGCCCTGGTTCCCTGCGATCTGACAGGTACTTGCCCAGCTTGAAGGTGCCAGGCACGGGCCCCAGGCGCAAGCCAGCGGGGATGCAGCAGTCAGCGTTCACGCTGGTGGCCGGAGTGCGGGAAGTTCCGTGCATTGTTGCCACCGCCGCCAGGCAAGCGCTGGGACTCGCGGGGTCCTCCACGAGGAGCGAGTGACAGAACCAGGAGCAGCCTCATGCGATGAAGGAGCCGCACCCCGACGTGCGTCTTCTGCCTGCCGAGTGACGCGGGCGGGCATGCACTGCGCCTTTTCAATCCGGGCGGGCGCCTTTTGGCACCACCAGCGCAAGGGCGCGGAGTTTGGTGAGAGAGTTGTGCTGTGAAGCAGCTGCAGAGTCCCACCCGAGAGGGTCACATGGAGTGGTTCCCTCAGCCCCCTGCATAATCGAGGCCTCTGAATGGCTAGCACACAATGGTCCAGGCGACCTTCCCATTCCTAAAAATCCAATTTGTCAAGGGCGAAGAAAAGACGCTGGGGAATCAAAGGTCCGGCGGGACCATTAATCCTCAGCATGGGGTATTGTCCTCGAGACAGTTACGATATTTTAAGTGACAAATCCACTGTATAATTTCTCCATAAATTTTACTTCCTTTTATTGTTCGCCGACAAACCAGTTTTGGGAAATAAGTGACTACTTTAAGTCTACTTGGCTGATTCCTTTGAGCCTTGGTCTACTTCAAAGATTCTTAATTCTCTCCCCTTGGCTTTATTGTAAAGGAGATTAAACAAAGAGATGGAGACTGTTTGGAGGACTTGTTAACTTCTATTGATTTCTGGCGTGTGCCATACAGAAGTTAGGCAGGTACTTGATGGGGAAACACCAGAAAATACCTACACTTTCTAAATAACGACCATAGCACCATTTCAGGGATTGGGTTCAGGCCAGTCCACCATTTAGAACGGCTTTGGTTGTTCCTTATACCCCGATTTGCCCCCAAAATATGAAGCCACCACAACAGTTGGAGAGGGCAAAGCCAGCTGAGTATCACTGCTCCGGGTCGGGTCGCACTCAAGGCCCACACTTTCTCTGAGGGTAGGGGCAGCCACAGAGTCAAGAGCTTCATACGAGATGTGCTGTGCTGCGGATCAAGCTGCAGCCTTGAAGGGAGGGGAGTTCTCTGCTGGGTTGTTAATCACCCCCCATACACACACACACACACACACACACACACACACACACACACACAGAGGCGACTCATCAATTCAAACCTTGTTTTGCTTTTAAGTTTAACACGAAGAGAAAGTCCTGACACTAATTTCTCCAAAACCAAAAGACTGGGTTTTTACTTATTTTTTTTTTTCAGCAAACAAACCACCACCAAAAAAACATCGCAGTCTCTCAATAAGGTCCCAGGTAAGTCATAGCAGGCATTTGGGTCAACTCCGAGCACCTTTTCCCAAATCCCACGTTGGCACCACCGAAGCCACCAGGACACTCCTACAGAGGCTCCAATAATGTTGTGTCCTCACTCCCACCCCGATCCCCTCTCAGAAAACAGAACAGAGGAGCCTGGGCAGCACGCTCACTGGTTCCTTCCGGTGGCTTTGCCCAAGAAGAGGCAGTTGTGCCTCCGGGATCAGGAGTGGCTCTGGCTAGTAGGCACGCGAAGAGGGAGGGCCCTAAGCTGCTCTCTGTTGGAAACTTGAATTCACAGCAACAGACAGGACCAGGGATCACTTGTTGCCTCGGTGTTCAGATCTCTAAAGTGGGAGTGCTGAGTGTCACCGGTCCCTTGCCTCTTTTCACTATTCACCCCAGGTTATCAGCAAAGTGGGCAACAGTGGCACTAAGAACGCCACAAAACTCGTTGCTTGCAGCAATGGGAAAGCCAGGCCAGGTCAAAGGTCTCAAGTCTAAGCAAACCAAGACAAGACCACAAAGAAGGCAGACTTGGTGTCCGCTCTGCGGCCTATGGAGCTTCACCTGCTTGGGACACCGGAGAGCTTTGAGCAGTCATAACTGCGTCACTGACCGTGCGCCTTGCCCGGAACTGTTTTCTAAGATGGCAAACTCTCAGTTTCACGCTCAACCTTCCAATGGCTTCTCGGGGGGGGGGGGTAAGAAGGCTATCCTCCACAGATAGAAAGGAGCCTTTGATCCCAGGGCCTATGAATGGCTAAACTGGGGGAGGGGGAGGCGGGCTGAGGAAGTCTCTCCGATGAGTCCAGGGCAATAAATTTTAAGCCATGAACATGTCCCTCTAACCTCTGGCCTGGCGACTCCGAGTGACACCCAGTTTAACTTACCAGCATTGCAAGAGCGAGCGAGAAGGGGGCGAGCTCAGGGCCTGGGTTCGGGGCTCCTCCCTAGCCCTTCTTAACCAGTGAAAAAGCGTGAACGACACGCGAACAATTTTATCAATAGGACCATGTAAAGGCCGACTGTGAGGAAAGTTATTTATTAATATAGCCAATTGTGACTGGTTCCCAGCTCTGCGAGAAGAAAGACACTGCGCCAGAGGCATTCACACCAGCTCGCCGAGTTTTATTCTGTCCTGTGGCTCAGAGTTGCAGTTCCCCAAGTGAAATAAATTGTCCACAAAGGAGAAAAGGAACACATTTTCTTTTATTTTTCCTCCCCTAAAAAGCAAGGGTGAAACCAATCTAATGTGCCCAGTGGAGCAAGATGGGCCGTGAAAGGCTGGGTGTTAAAAGTAAAAGCGGGCTGTGCAGCAAATGGGATGGAAAATTAAATGAAATTAAATAGCTTGAACGGCCGTATTGTCCCTTATTAAAAAGACACATTAATTACATGGTCTCAGCCTTATTCAAAGACAATGTCGAGACTCAATCAAAACATTCCACTCGGCTTTTTTATCGACTTAAAATGGGCGTCCAGAGGCCCTGTTAAAGCGAAATCCGTCCAACACGGAGGTGCAAGGACAGCGTGGTTTGGGGCGGTCCTGCAGCCTGCCCAGCGCGGATGGTACTCGGCTCCCGCGGCGGTAACAGGTTGCCTAGGGAGGCTGGCTCACAGAGAGCCGCAGCCGGCGGGAAAGCCAGCGGCTCCGCCTGGTCCGCAGCTCCCGCTCGCCCGGCTCTAGCCACGAAGCTCGCACGACCTGCGGGGCTCCTCCACACTGGAAAGAGCCTCCCTAGGCCTTCCGGGCCGAGCGCAGAGGTTCGTCTCGTCATGTTTTGGGGAGCGATCGGTCTCGGCTAGGCAAAGGCCTCGGTCTCGGGGTACCCCAGGAGGCTGAGCTGGCTGCCCAGCGTGGGTTCAGGAGTCACCGAACGACTGCCAGGTCCCCGCTACTGCGCAGCACAGCCCCCACCTGAGATGGGGATAGCCCGGGAGGCCGTAAGCGGACCGGAGCCGCCGCTTCAGCCGCCGCCTTCGGGACTGCCCTGGCCCGGGAAGCGCCCCCTGCGGGTGTCTGTGGCGGCCTGGCGGCCAGGTCGGGGTAGACCAGCTGCTCTGCCCCCGAGGCGCGGGTGGGACATTAAGACCGGCTCTGAATAGGGAGGCTGCGACAGGCTCTGGGAACGCCACCAGATGACGCGCCCGCATCGAGGCTTTTTCCCCCTTAATTGCGTGGACGGTGGGTGCGCGGCGGCCGGGAGTCTTCAAACTTGTAGCCAAGGACGCAGCCCGGACACCGCTGGTGGGTTTTGTGGTGCCTTTTTGTTTTGTTTTGTTTTGGGGTTGGTTTTTTTTTTCTTTTCTTTTTTTTAAAGTCTGCCATTGGAAACGACTCAATAAAAGTATTCAGAGTCCCTCTCAAGTTGCCTTTTAACCGGAGCTCCCCAACTTATTTCTTGGTTCTTTCGGTTGACATGGTGCAAAGAAAAGTCAGCGAGCGTGCTGCTGAATTGCAATGTCTTGGGGCACCTCCACATTCACGCTTCTCTGCCGGCCTCTGCCCGAGGAGCCCGCGCTCAATTCGATTTTCCTTGCTATTGGGCACATTTAGGAGCTCCTCTATTTGTGAAGTTCATTTCTAGGCAAATGTATTCAAGAGCTGATGGGAATGAATAGGACCGTGTGTCAGCCGCCCCTAATTGGGATTAAAGCACTTAGGAGCATATGCAGAGACTGACAGAAATTCTCAGGTTGCATTGTCTTCAGACTTCCACCCGCTCGGACGCTCCTCCTCCAAGGGAGATTTATAAAGATTGCGGGGAGAAACTGAGGAAAGAAAGACGAAAGGAAAAGGGCCCAGGATGGAGCTGCAGTTCAGCTAGTGGAGGTGGCGGCTTCGCAGAAAAGAAACTACAGATAATTGAGAGAGGGCGGTGAGGGGGGAGGGGAAGAGCAGGTCCGAACTCTAATCTGAAAGGCGGAGAGTTAAAAGGCGAAATGAAGATGTTCTCGAGGCTCCCAAACGCCCCTTCCTTTTTTTCTTTCCCCTGAAGGAACTGCCTTTATTTCTCCTTATCTCTGCTGCCATTCTTCATCACCCCAGAGCAACACTCTCTCGAAGAAGAAGTCATACCATATTTCACAGACTTGAAACGGACAGCAAGGAATCACATAGGAAATAAAAGTAACTTTTGCATGATGAAAAGGTCATGTTCAAATAATCCCGGGAAAGTTTCCTGATCAGTGTGTTAAATATATGCACAGTGACTAACCATATGAATAAAACGTATCTTCATGTGAAGACAAATTGTGGGTCTGGATCTACGGTCTACCTGCCAATCTCAGTACAGAAGTGCGCACTGAGGTTTTGGGATGAGGTGACAAAACCTTTTAAAAGCCGGGAACTGGCATGGAGCTGAGGCTGAGACACTTTTCCAAACAGAGCAATGGCATCCTCCTCCAGTCCCCACCCCAGACAGCCCCCAAGAGCAGAGAAACCTAAAAGATAAGGTAAACACTAAGGGTTTCAGGCATTCTCAGGATTTTCTTGGTTTCTGAGTTGTTTGACTCCACCTAGAAGCATTGGTTTCTTAGATTGGTTTCTAGAAGCATTGGATGTCAGGGCACAGAATAAGAGGGAGACTTCTCACCACACTCTCTTGGGTACCATTTTGGATTTGGTAAAGTAAGACCATACAAGAATACATTTTCAATTAAAAGTTCTTACTAAGTGGACTCTTGGGGGAGAGTCTAGGCCCTGTCCTGGATGAAATAACAGAACTATGGACACCCCCATGGAGGGCCTCACCCTCCCTGGGGAAATGAGGGGATATTGGAGAAGTTGGTGGGAGGGTGTGGGAGGAGGGGAGGGAAAGAGAGAGGGACCTGGAATTGACATGTGAAGCAGCCTTGTTTCTAATTTAAATTTAAATTT